CAACCCAGACTATGAGATATACTAGATATCCTGAAGAAATCCATCCCCCGCCCCCCCTTCCCCCCCAGATAACAACAAACTGGGATCAGAAGCAGAATTATACCTATAGCTATGCTGTCAGTCAGCTGGAATGAATGGCTTAATCTATTAGTTATATTCTGAATAATACTGTATATGAGTCAACTTTTATTGACAAGGTGCAATGCAGCAGAGAAAAGCATACAGAAAGAAACAAGTTATAGTCTTTACCATTTTCAGTAGGAACCAGAATGTATCCTTATATGGTCCACTGAGAGCTACAGTTATATACATGCAAGACTCCAAAGGTAGGGAGCGGATGTCTTCCAGGGAAAAGATCAGAAGCCAAAAATTGATTGGCATCCATTTTCTGGAGTGGAGCACTTGGACAATTCTCTATCAACATTCATGGGAACAATACGTACTGGTAATATAGGGCAAGACCATACCTGTGTCCTGTAGACACAGGGGAAAGAAGAACTCTCGCTTTGTGACTAAGATTATGACAACACGTGAAAGGGAAGAAAAACACAGCGTAGCTGAAGTTTATGTACGACTTGTGTGTAGTTAGGTCGGGGGAAGGTTGTTCTCCTCTCAACACTGGCTGCTCTTCTCACCCTGGTGGAGTGCTGGCGTTGATGGGAGAATACTTAAATATTGCTCTATCGTATCTAAGCAGATGCAATAAATCGATGGCTGGTGGATCAATCACTGCAGCATTGAACCCTGGCATAGTGGAGACAAGCCTTTACGCTAGTGCACAACAGGAGTAATCACAATGAACTCCATGAAGATAAATTGGTGTCCCAGTAAGATCAGACCCAAACTAATTTCATAATGCCAAGCACATCTATACTACTATATACACATATTTGATGAAGTGGGTCTTACCACAAAAGTTCATCATCCTATATATTTTTGTTAGTCTCTAAGGTGCCACAGGACTTCTCCAAGGGAAGCTTTTTGGAGGGTAATAGTCTACTTCCAGGGGCAATTCTAAATATGGGTGAGAATCTTCAGAATCTTCTTTCTGGCTTAGCTATTTATAGACGTAAAAAGCTGATGACAGCATTAAAAATGAATTAATCTGCTACCAAATAACACCTTTTTTGTATAAGTTCTCAGAGTTCAAGGTTACCTCTTAGAACATTCTATAGTAGCAATGCTTGTGGGCAGTCAAGGTTGGCTGCTTCCGTCCAGTTTCAATTACTGTTACTTATAGTTTTAAATAGCAGACATGCCCTTTGGGAATTAACAAAACGGGTTTGACATGATGCAGTAAAGGAAAAGTTACATTCTCACACCAGTGCAGCTCTGTCTATTGAAGTCAGCTGCATTTGACTCTGCAAGGCACATGTAAACTGAGCAACTTTGGATAATAGGTTTGGTGTCCCCAGTCCTTGCTATTCATTCCCTTGTCTATACAGCAACAGCACTTCACAAGAATCCTGTAATGTTTGAGTTGCTGGTCCTTCTATAGTAACTGGGGAAATCTGAAACGATCTCAGCTGTCTGTATATGAAAATACACACAAGGCAAATGTTGAATACATCTGCAGAGGAAAACTCTTTCTGAAAAAGCACTCACTTCCATTCACTGTCCTGTTCCACAAAGTCTGCATTAATACAGTATTTAAGCATTAACCTCTGAAATGACCCTTCCTCACACCTGACAAGTACTGGCTGGTTGTTGACAGGCCACAATTTACAGATGATAATCTTCTCAGCAGCTTTCCCACTTCTCTTTTCCACATCACCTGTCTATCCCCAAGTGCCTTTCACACTCAGTGTCCATGCAAACCTGTTCCATGTTACACAGAGACTATCAGCTTGTAATTTCCATCACCAATGTGCCAGACAGCATTCCATTAAAAACAAAAGAATAGGTGTTACACCATAGGAAGGGGAGATGGAAAGGTACACATCTATCTCACCAGGACATGTCAGCAGATGGCCAGACAAGGAATGTGGGGTTTTGTCATGGTTTTAAATTTGCTACCTACCTGATATCAGCCTCTCAAACCCTGGTCTATTCATAAAGTTCCACTGGTTTAAATTAACTAAAGGTATGAAGTTAAACCTATTTATTAGTTAAACCAGCACAATTTTCTGTGTGGATTTTCATAACATTTTAAATGTAGCTTATATCAGTTTAGTTTGCCCCTGTTCATTTGCTAATATAGCCATTTAAAAAACCTAATTGGCGTGTATCCACACACAAAGTTGTATTATAGGTCAACTATAGGTAGAACTTATACCAATATTTAAGTTAAGCTTGTCTGGTACTTTCTATCATTAAGTTCCTGTTTTCAGTTGCTTTTAGCTTTGCTAAACTTCATCTACTCACACTAAAATGTCCATATTTGTTTTCTGCCCCAGGCAGAATTTTATTTTTAAAATTTCAGCCAAAAAAGGGGAGTAGGTTTCAGTATTTCTGAGAACAAGATAGGAGGTGGGTGATCAATCAATTTTTAATAAATGTCCATGCTACAATGCTTTGGAGCAGGAAGTTGAAGTTTGGCAGGGTAAAAGTCATTGAGCAGGAGGTGCCTTTTGCTGTCACCATAAAAATCTGCCTAAATTTGGCTAATTTCTCTGAAAAGTATAATTTTCACATGCCTTGTAGATCTTCTTAGAGAACTGTTTTTGAAATTTCCAGTCCTTCTATCTGCAATGAACATTAGATATCAACTACACCAATCCACCTACACAATAAACACAAGCTACAATTTTGGATAGTGGGGACATTCCTTCCAAGTGCAGGAGCCAACTAGACTATGAAAAGGAGTGTTGAGAGCCAGGAGTCTGTTTTTCCAATGACTTGAGTTAATAATTCTGTTCATGTCATAGCCTGTATTACTGAAAACATATATAATTAGGGTAACAGGTAGAAAAGTAGACTTCCTCCCATTTTACAGATGGGATAATTGAGAGGTTGTGCAAGTTACCTCTAGCAAAGCTGAGAAAAAAAACTCATTTTTCCAAGGTGACAACACTGACATTCAAAAACAATGTCTCAATTTTCTATGCTCATTTTGGCTACCTATAAACATTAGAACACTTTCCTTTCCAAAGACAGGAACAGAAATATTGATTCCCAGTTCCCAACATTCCTCTGGAGCCTAGAAAATAGCATGTAAGTCACTGATAAAATATGTATTGTGTCTCCCTCTAGTGGCTGGCCCACAGAGATGAGAAGCTACTGCTATCCTTTATTTCAAGTAAGGAGGAGTGAAGAGGCCTATGCTGTGGATGTAAAGGCTATGCATTCCAGTCTTGCTGATAGCACATAATGGGGTCAATACAGTTCCATCTAATGGATTTTTTTATCGTGTTTATCTTTATGTCTAGTAGCATGAATAGTGATATTTTTGAAGGTCACTGAGCTGCCATGGTGATAGGTACTTAATCTTCAAATATCACATTTTTCTTATGCTTTGGTAGTTACAGTAGTTATATTTAACTCTTAGGATTCTGATGATTCAAAGAAGTTAGCAAATAAAGAAAAAAATCTGGTTTTTTTCCAGTTTGTTTCCTTCTTGCATTTGACAACACTCTGTCTAAAGACTGTGTTCTTCAATCTATCAGGGGTTGTCTGCATGGGGAAATTTATCAGAATAACCACTCCAAAATAACTCCCCAATGAATTATCCATTCTGGAATGGTGTTCACATTGGGAGGAATAACTACTGCAAAATAATTTATCCCATAATAGCTATTTGGATTAATTTCCTCATAAAGACAAGCTCTAAGGCCCCAGCCCTTCATATACCTACCTATTCACATAAAGAATCCCAGTGAAGTCAACAGGATTGCTTACATATGTCAATACATCTTTACATGACCATGGTTATAGTTCATTTCTCCATTGCTGAAGTCATGAAGAGACCATTATGAACAAGACCAGCACAACAGAAAAAAATCCTTATAAATTATTTTAAAAGGATTAAAAAACTCAAGGACATTCTGTTTAAAGATGATCTATCTCAGAAACTAGACATTTTTAAATTATTTACTAAAAAGTTAATGGTGTCTCTTTAATAGAAGAAATGAATGTGGGAGGAAAAGAGATTATACAAACTGAGTCATGATGTAATTCCTGTGTTCCTTAGCCCAAATCTTACTGTCTGGGTGCATCTAGACTGGCAAGATTTTGCGCAAAAGAGGACGCTTTTGCGCAAAAACTTGCCAGCTATCTAAACTGGCCACTTGAATTTGCGCAAGAGCACTGACGATCTAATGTAAGATTGTCAGTGTTCTTGCACAAATATTTTGACGCTCCCACTCAGGGATAAGCCCTCTTGAGCAAATGTTTTTGCGCAAGAGGGCCAGTGTAAACAGGGAGGGAATTTTTTGCACAAGAAAGCCCCAATGGCAAAAATGGCGATCGGGGCTTTCTTGCACAAAATTGCATCTATACTGGCCATGGATGCTTTTGCGCAAAAGCACTTTTTGTGCAAAGGCACCCATGCCAATCTAGATGCTCTTTTCCGGAAATACTTTTAATGGAAAAACTTTTCCATTAAAAGCATTTCCGCAAAATCATGACAGTCTAGATGCAGCCTCTGTGTAATACTTTCTACGATTTCTAAGCTGCCATGGGATAAGAGGGAATGACATCTGATGGACTGATAACTGGTTAAAAGATAGGAAACAAAGGGTAGGAGCAAATGGGCAGTTTTCAGAATGGAAAGAGGTCACTGGTGATCAGTGCCACCCAGAGGATTCAGGGGGCCTGGGGCAAAGCAATTTCAGGGGCCCCTGGTGGGCTTTACTCTGGCACTCCCTGTCTCAGACTTCAGACATTCTTATGGGGGCCCCTGCGGGGCCTGGGGAAAATTTCCCCCCCCCTCTGGGCGGCTCTGCTGGTAGTATTCCCCAGGAGTCCTTATTGGTACCAATCCTATTCAATATATTCATAACTGATTTGGAGAAAGGGGTAAACAGAGAGGTGGCAAAATTTGCAGATGATACTAAACTGCTCAAGACAGTTAAATCCAAAGCAGACTGTAAAAAGCTTAAAAGGATCTCACAAAACAAAATGACTGGGCAACAAAATGGCAGATGAATTTTAATGCTGATAAATGCAAACTAATGCATATTGGAAAACATAATCCTAACCATACATAGACTAAGACAGGGTATGTCTACACTACCACCCTAGTTCGAACTAGGGTAGTTAATGTAGGCAACCGGAGTTGCAAACGAAGCCCGGGATTTGAATTTCCCGGGCTTCATTTGCATATTGCCGGGGGCCTCCATTTTTAAATGTCCGCTAGTTCGGACTCCGTGCCCGCGGCTACACGCAGCACGAACTAGGTAGTTCGGATTAGGCTTCCTATTCCGAACTACTGTTACTCCTCGTGGAACTGCAGTGGCAGTCCAAAAAGCAAATAGAATGTTAGGAATCATTTAAAAAGGGATAGAGAATAAGACAGAGACTATCTTATTGCCTCTACATAAATCCATGGTATGCCCATATCTTGAATACTGCATACAGATGTCATCGCCTCATCTCAAACAAGATATCTTGGCATTGGAAAAAGTTCAGAAAGGAGCAACAAAATGATTAGGGGTATGAAACAGCTGCCATACGAGGAGAGATTAATAAGACTGGCACATTTCAGCTTGGAAAAGAGATGACTAAGGGGGAGGGGATATGATAGAGATCTATAAATCATGATAGGGTGAAAGAAGTGAATAAAGAAGAGTTATTTACTCCTTCCGATACCACAAGAACAGAACTAGGGGTCACCAAATGAAATTAGTAGGTAGCAGATTTAAAACAAACAAAATGAAATACTTCTTCACGCAATGCATGGTCAACCTGTGGAGCTCCTTAAAAGAGGATGCTTTGAAGTCCAAGACTATTACATGATTCAAAAAAGAAATAGATAAATTAATGGAGGATAGGTCCATCAATGGCTATTAGCCACAATGGACAGGAACGGTGTCCCTAGCTTCTGTTTGTCAGAACCTGGGAATGAGTAACAGGATGGATCACTTGATGATTACTTGTTCTGTTCATTCCCTCTGGGAAACTTGGCATTGGCCACTGTATGAAGACAGGATACTGGGCTAGATGGTCTGACCAATATGGCCATTCTTAAGTTATTATCCACTTCCTAGACACTACTGTGCAAATAAGTATGGTCACATAAATATCATTCTATACCAGAAACTTACTGAGTGCTATACTTACCTATACCCCTATAACTTTTATCCAGCACATATCACACAATGCCTCAGAGACAGACACCTACATGATCTCTGTCAAACATTCTTAAAACTACAATACCCAGTTGAGGAAGTGAAAAAACAGACTGACAAAGCTAGGCAAGTACCCAGAAGTCACCTACTACAGAACAGACCCAACAAAGAAAGCAACAAAATACCACTAGCCATTATCTACAACCAGGCGCTAAAATATCTCCTACACCAAAGATCTATAACCTATCCTAGATGATCCCTTATTCGCACAGACCTTGGGGGGCAGGCTTGTACTTGCTTACAGACGCCCCTCAACCTGAAACAAATACCACCAACTTCAGATACACTAACCCAGGAGCCAATCCCTGCAACAACCCGCATTGCCAACTCTGTCCACACACTTACACTAGTGACACCGTCACAGGATTTAACCACATCAGCTATATCATGAAAGGCTTGTTCAATATGACATCTGATATTGATCTACTGATGTGATATATGCCATCACGTGCCAAGAATGCCCCTCTGTCATGTACATTGGACAAACCAGACTATCTCTACTCAAAAGAATAAATGGTCACAAATTAGAATCAAGAATGGTAACATTTAGAAACCAGTGGGGCAGCACTTTTAACCTCCCTGGACATATGCTTACTAATTTGAAAGTTGCCATTCTTAGGCAAAAAAAACCTACTTCAAAAACAGATTGCAATGCAAACCTGCTGAGCCAAAGTTCATAAGCAAATTTGACACTGTCAAAATGGGTGTGAACAGACACATGGAATGGCTCCCTTATCAAAATAAGTAACTTCCCGTTCAGGTACTCTCACCTTCTCATCACTTTTGGAAGTGAGCCACATCAACTCTGATGTAATTAGCACCGATGCTACACTCCCATCTCTATATGCCTGTCTTTCTTTCACTTCAAGCATCTGAGGAAGTGAGTTGTATCTCATGAAAACTTATGCCCTAATAAATGTATTAGTCTTTAAGGTGTCACTAGACCCCTTTTTGTTTTGCTGAAACAGAGTAACAGGGCTACCTCTCTGAAAGCAAGCATCACTTTGAATTTTATAGTCCCTTGTCATCTTAATTTTATGGTACTAGTTCCTCCTCAGTGTGAATACATTTCTAAACACATTCTAACGTCCTCCAATCCTGCCCCACTTCCTCCTCAGGTGCATTAAAATAAGTCCATCAATCACTACTGATTGTGGTTCATACTTCTCATCCAGACTGACAGAGAAACTATTAATCCTGTGAGATCTCAAGTGTCAGTGCAAGCTATGCCCCTTCTTCCTAAACCTCCCACACCAGAGCCCTCACATTTCCAGGGAAACAACATAACACATACAAATAATTCATCAAATATGTAGAGCTAGTAGCACTAAAAATGCTAACATGAAAATATAAACCCAAATATGACTGAAAAATGCTCCTAAAATTACAGGAAAGAAGGGCTGGAATTCTCATTTCCAATCATCCCCAGGTAGCAAAGGACACCCATTCAGTGGAAGAGAAAAGGTTGGGGAAATACTTTTGGAAATAGGAGATTTTCCCTTTAAAGGGCACCTCTTCCTTCTGTCCACTCTCTTCTTCTCTGCAGGCAAATTACTGAAATATACAAGAACTCTGCTCTTAGGAAGCAGAGAGAGGTGAAGCAAAGCAGAGGAAAAGCAGTGATGTGTTGGTAGGTCACTTGGCTAACAGCCTGATATTTTATCCAGGTTGCAGACCTCTTTTGGGCACGTGGTGATTATTTCAATCCCAGAACAACAATTAAGAAAGAATAGGGAATTTTAAAACTGTGGTGTCCTGGCCTAATTCCAGTTTAGGCAATTACATTCTGCCTGCTTTAATTCCCACTGCAATTTCAACTGGCTGTGGTATTGTGTTCTGTCTTATGTGATGCTGCTGTGCACTGTTAAGCAGACATTTTCCTCCCCAGAGCTGATTGCTCTGGTTAGGTGAATCTCTCTAAAAATAGAGCCAAACTTTACCCTTCTTTTGTATTGAGGCAGTAAAGCACCAATCTGGCACAACTAAATGTCTCTGTGAGTTTTACCATGGATTTGAGAGGGTGCTGGATTGAGCCTAGGTTAGAAAAGAGGTTTGTGAAACATGTTTCTCAAACTGAACTAGCATGGCAGGATAACTTGCAAAAGACTTTATATTAAGGACCCCCTTGCCTAAATGAGGCTTTGTGTGCTGGGTTGTATGTGGCATCCAATGCCTCTGTTGATGTATGCCTGACATGGTAGGTGAGATGATAAACTTAGTTTAAAGAAGCACGAGGTATACTTCACCATTTGTTTTCCCTGACAACCTGTCCTGAGGTTTCTAATATCAGACCTGCTGCTAGCAACTTTCCCAGCCTGGCAAAATTCCAAATAATTGAGGAAATACATAACTTTTAGTTTGTTTTTCAGTTTAAATGTGTTCAACCACATATTATCACTTGGGAGAGAAGAAAGGGATACCCAAAAGATTTTCCCTTCAAGTATCTTTCAAAAACATTTCATGGCTAATGAAATTCTAAGTCATTAATTTAGAGTTATGCAGCTCCACGTTTATTTTAGCTATAGTTTAGCTGTGAGTTTCTGTCACCAAGCTTTTGATTGTTACTGGATGGGTTCTCTACCAAACTTGTAGTTACAATTTTGTTTTTATTGGTATAGTAAGAGGAAATCTGGATACATGCATTTTAGCTACACAAGTAGAAGATTCAGCGGGCCAGATTTTCTACTCTATTAGACTGGTACATCTAAACTCAAGTCAATGGAATAACACAGGAACAAAACAGGTGCAACAGAATGAAGAATCAAAATCACTCTCTTTAGCTTTCTCTAAACTAAGGTCCGCTAGATAGGAGAAATCACAAAAAAAGTATTTTCCTTCTCAAGTTCCTCCTCAGCTCTCCTATTAAACCCAAACTTTCGCAAAAATAATGTAATAGTTTTATTGCAGATATGGTCT